ATAAAATTATGTATTATTCTAATACCCTATTTAATCTTGTCTTTTGTCTTTCCGTATTGTATTAAACTGGATCACTCTATCTAATCCATACATTTCTAATACGGCAACTCAACGAGCCCTTAATGTATCACTGATATTATTATTTACTTGTGTGTGGGGTTATTTCTGTGTCGTGGACAAAGTTGAACTTGATTGTATCACTGATATTATTATTATGTTTTTGTGGTGGTGCCAATAATTCATTTCAGTCTTGTTTATTACTTGAAGTACATGTTTGTACCAATAATTAGCCTTTTAATAAACTGTTTTTTAGAGGAGACTCTGCAGAATAGCTTTAAAGAAATAGTGGACCCAAATTGATTTCAATTTGTGTAGTTAAAGAAATTGGGCTTTTAAAATTATGTTTATGTCCTTATTAACCTTGCACAAAATTGATCGAGTATGAAAGAGTATTAAAAAAAGGAGTAGTTATAAGATTCTCAAAAAATTTTGTCGCATGTATTAAAGAAACATGAGTTAATGTGGATGTGGTTCTCAATTATAAGACTTGTTTTATAAGATGATCATTGGGTGATCAATTATAAGACTTCTATTTTTTATTTGGTGCGGTGTGGTGCGGATTGTGAGTCAAACCAAATGGATCCGAACGCGGATCGTAACTAACCTTCCAACTGAAATTTAAAATGTCCAGCCGAATTTTTAAAATTTTCTACCGTTAAATTTGAATTTGACGTCGAATTAGAAAAGTGTATGTTTATTCTAGAGGTGCTTTCCTTTGCTACTATTTAGATTAAAAGAATGTATCTTTTCAATTCGAACAATGGTATCTCAGGGCTTTTTAGGCGATCTGAACATGCACCAAGGGTCCATACACAAACTATCTTCCTGACATTTTCAATCCTTCCCAAATTCTGAATTTTGTATTCAATATTTTCTCTCTCTCTCTCTCTCTCTCTCTCTCTCTATGTGTGCATATTATTGCATTGCTATTTTTTGTTTGGTTTAAGTATAAACGCATAAGTGTTCATTGGGGTTCTAAATATTGAAGTACTACTTCTTCAAAAACGAAAATCCGTCAAATCTTAGGAGATAATTGCTTATCAACCTTAAGGGCACTAAGAGAGAACAAATCTGTCGTACAGAAACTATGATTATACAAGACTCAAAATATTATTATTATTTCTGAATTTCTAAATTCTTATTACTATTGTAGTTCCGCGTCACTGTAAGTGTATTTTACTTTATTTTTTAATATTATATTTTTAATTAAATTATTTGTATATAAAAGTATACTTAATAGATTTAGATTTTATTACAGTAATTAGTTCCTTCATCTGATTATATATATATATAGATAGATAGATAACAATATTTTAGTTTTGCTACATACATTCAATTATTCAATATGTAAAAGAAATGATAACACAATAAGCATAAATGAAATGACACAAATATAATTTTCGAACAATACTTTACATGTCCATCACCTCTTACTAAAGAGTGCATGAGAAACTACCCACTATTCATTACTAGAAGAAAATTAAAAAAGTAAATAGAATTATAAAGGTAAAAATATAAAGATAATACAGTGCTTATCTCCAACAAAGGGTGAGTAAAATACTACACACCTTTTACAAGAGAGCTAGAAAAGTGAGAGAAGTCCACTCTTCTAAGTGAAAGAGAAAGCCTATTCCTCTTCCAAAAATTATTTTCATGTAAGAATCAAGGGGTGGTATTTATAGACCAAGGGAGGGAGACAAGGAACAGCCTTGGTGGCTGAAAGTCCAAGCATAGGGCTCAAAATTCGGCTAAAATATCATAATTGGAGGATGTCTGTCTTCTATTGGCATTCGAATTTGAGTCCTCCTTCTATCTACAGATTTAGTGTCTTCTTGAGATGCTAGAGTTGAAGCTCGTTCGAACTTGGATGTTGTTCGAATGCTGAATGGCGTTCGAAGATGGTAATTAATACAGCCATCGACACTAAGCAGTCCAGTAGCTAGTAGCCTGCAACCTAGCAACCATTTGTAGATTCTGTTTGGTTTGCAGGTGCGTTCGAACGTGGACCCAAAGTCCTCTTTGTGTACTTTAGCCACCGCAGCTGCTTTCTCCCAGCAGTGCTTGGTTCTATTGTCTCTAAATCATCATTTTAAGACCTGGGTACGTGGCATCACACTTGTCCAAGCCTAGCACACCATTAACCACTAAATAATGTAGCTTAAACGCAATTAAAGTGTAATTATCCCTATAAATGCATGATGAAATGTACCTTTTAGTAGAGAATCAATTTTCACCTGCTTTAAATGAATAAAAAGGATATACTCTTTATTTTTTAACTACATCTATTTTACTTGATCTTTTGTGTATGTAGCACCGATTGATTTGTGGATCTTGATTTAGAAAAGGCAACTCAAATTGATTGCATTGGTATAGTTAAACTTGCTGAACGCGATGCGGAGTTCACAATTATTTGTTTAATTTGTATTTTATAAAGGGTAAATTATATAATTAGCGTTTTATAGGTTGTTTATACAATTTAACATTTTCTTGGGTCCTATTTTTAGGAGACACTGTGTCCAAATTTTTTAAATGGACAAAAGTATTGTTTTAATTTGATTCAAAATTGACCATTTTTTATTTAATATAACATAGTGAAGGTACAAACATTTTTGCTAATGACATGGGTTTGCAAATCCTTGTAAGTTGACTTTTGATTAAATATTTGAGCATTTTTGTTAGTTCTAGTAAGGTATGTAACTTTAAACATATAAATTTTAAGTTTTTTCAGTTTAAATTTATGAGACTTTGATTATTGAAATTAGGTTTTCTCCCCCTCTTCATTGAAATTCGTATTCACGAGAATCTTCATATTAGTAATACTTTGTTGAGCATGTATGCAAAATGCAGGTGTGTTAAGAATGCAATTTAGGCTTTCAGCTTAATGTGTGTCTATGTTTACTGCTTGATTTTTTTTGAATTCACAATCAATATTTGATTTTTTTTTATGAAATGTACAGTCATGAGTTATCGCTAGTGGTTCAATATATCAAGTCAGTGGTTCAAAAAGAATTATTCTTTTAGTGTGCTACAAGTTCATGCTTAACTTTGGCCTCCACATGTACCACTCAAATATCTTTTTGGTCTCCATAGAAAACTTAGAGAGCTCTCTTTTTTAAGGGCCTGTTTAATTTGCATTTCAAAAAACAATATCTAAAAATCGTTTTTGGAAAGAGTTTAAAGAATGTTTTTAAAAAATTTTAGATTACAAAACCTGTTTAGTTATATATTTTTGAAAATAGTTGAAGAATAAAAATTATACAATCTGTTTGGACAATAATCCACAATTCCCACCTCTCTTTTTCTTTACCTCTCTCTGTCTCCACAAAAACACACACACACACACACACAGAGGCATACACACACACACACACATAGATGCATACACACACAGATCTGTGCTCAGATCTGTGTAGATTTGAAACTTCTGTGCAGATGACGAGGTGGAGACGAGCTGGAGCTGGAGAAGACAAGCTAGAGTTGGAGCTGGAGAAGACGACGACGGTGTGTGTGTGTTCATTCGATGCAGACGACGAGTGGAGAAGACGAGCTAGAGAGTCAGGGAGAGAGGAAGGAAATAATAAAAAAAAAAAAGAAGGAAACCTATTGCTGATAAGGGGCTCTAAGGGCAAATCTCATTAAAGGGTTTTGTGACCTCCGTGTTTTCACAATTTCTAGTCCCAAACTCAGAAAACAAGCCAGTTTTGTTTTCAATTTCTTTAATCAAAATCTTATTTTTTTTCCCAAAAATTTGAAAATAAAAATGTTAAGCAAACAAGTTTTGGATTTTTTGAATTTTTTTTGCAAAACATAACCAAACACGTCCCAACTTTTTTTTGATTCCGATAAAAGTTGTTTTTGCTCAAAAAATCAATAGAAAATCCGTGCAATAAGTTTGGGTTAAAATGGATCAAGTTTTTTTCTCTGAAACCAAAAATAAAAACTGATCGAACCACAGTTGCGAACTACAAACCAATTCTGTGTTCTCTTTTACCTTTTTCTTCATATCCTCTCTCCCCCAAGATTCCTCGATTTATGGTCTTAAATGTCAGTAGTTCACCGCAAGATCTGACCATAGGTGGTTGAATGTATCAATGAAAGCCGAGCTGGCGCATACCCGCTGGTATTGTCTCTCGGATGGTGCCCAATATTTACACTCAATCAATCGAGTTGGATCCATGGCCAGTAGTCAATTTGGCCCCACACGCAAAACCTAATCTCCACGCGCAGGAGTTAAATCTAAAAGAGATAGCACCAAGAAACATTTTCATCCATTGGAGTATCGAACCCTCGACCAATATCAACTTAAGATATTTATTAGACTCGGTTAACACTTGAAATAACCCCTCATGGTTGTTTTTTTTTTTAAAAAAATTTTGGATATGAAGTTGTTTTCTTTAAATTTTTTGTTTTATTTTGTTAGTTGTCTGTGTATTATTGATATAATAAGCTGTACAGAAATCTCCTTTATTAGATATTAATAAAACATTTTTGTTCTTTAATAAACAATTTTTTACTCAAAATATATACACTTCAAAAACAATAGCAAACGGCACCTTCACCTTCTCAGCAATATAAGGCATAATAGTCTCTGCAATTTACCTACTACGATCAGAATACTACTACTCAAAGAATCCAGGAAGCTCAAACAAATCCCAATTGAAAAGCTACTAGTTATCATCTATTATGATAAGGAAATAAGAGATGCTTGGTCTGTCTACTAACAATGTAACCTTTCACTCTAGATATCTACACTTCCAAGATATGCAGATAGTAACTAAGAAATCTATAATCAAAGAACAACTATCCAAAACAATTGTCAAAGCAATTAAGAGATCAATATAGTAATGTATTCTATCCAATTCACTCCATGGTTCTCTCCTATATCAAGCAAAACACAGCATCTACAGCTGCAAAATCACTTCAAGTTCGTCTTCTCTGCATCAAAGCATTTCCAGATCCTCAGGCATCTTCTCGAATCCTTCACTCCGCCCTAAATTTGATTCATTGTTGATTCTATTTTTGTTTTCGGGTTTCTCCGGTTGGCTTTCCAACCCTGACATAATTTTGTCTCTCAGTTCATGATCAGCCGGTTCCTTCATTTCCATATCAGAATTCCTCTGCTTCCGCTTTTCAAATTCGAATTCCAACTGCTGACATATTTCCAAGGCTTGTTTCGTCATCCGGACAAGACGAGCTTTCAGGAGATCGAGCTCAGTCTCAATCTCACCTAATAATTTCAAGGCCACACCTAATAATTTTAAGGACTCGTATTCTTGATCCAACGCCATATTAGAGATTGTCCGTACCTAAAAGCACTATACAAAATAAAAAAAAATTAAAAATGCAATAACCCAAGTGAATGAGGACTGGTGAAATAGATAGTGGCGTGAAGTTGATTGTGACGTTGCTAAGTGATTGAGGACAAAATAATATAGTTGAACTAAAGGGGGATCCATTGGCATTGCTTCTCTGATTACAGTAGCAACAATTCCACAAATACCTTAGTTTGTGACTCAAAGAGTAATTAACATAAAGAAACAAAACAATGGATATGCTTCATTGAAGCAAAAGGTCTGCATATGCTATTGTAAGTATCGAACTTTTCTCCACCCCACTCCATCTTGTTCTATCAGATTAGTGCTACCCGCATATAAGTATCACATTGCAATGCAAGAACAAAAAAGAGAACAAAAAATCGAAAAGATCAACAACTGAAACACAAATACATCTCACAACCATGATTTTAGTAATCAAGAACATAGTTTTCAAGCCTACATTCATATTAATTGACAGAAGTGAGTTCATTTGTCCCTACTTAAACCACATAAGCAATTGGTAGTGCCTCAAATGCAGCAACGGGAGATGAATAATTTTTTTAAAAGGAAATTCACATATTTTCTTGATAGCAAAATCAAAAACTCAATTCTTAAAACCACCCAGAATAGAGCATGCATTTTTTTTTTTTCAGAAGCAAACCAACAAAAACTTTGAAATCATACATACAAAAGGGATGGAGGCGACGGGGGGCAGTGGTTGTGTCGTGTGTGGTGGTGGCTATGTATATATGCGGCGGGTGATGGATGGGGTTGCTGAGTTGGGTGTGAGTGGCTGTGGTTCGGTAGCAACCGGTAGACAGAGAGAGAATGAGAGAGAGTGTAACACCCCCCCCACTACCCAGCAAGATATTGTCCTCTTTGGCACAGGGTCACGGAACACCGTTCTCCTCCCCTGCCCTAAAGGGTTTGTTCCTCCCAGGGGTTCCCTGGGAAAAGGCCTCTTGCAAGGTAAGGGCTGAAGGCTTACTTATAAGCCCAGCAACTCCCTCCTCCGTAACCGATGTGGGATACCAGGATCTCACAATCTACCCCCCTCAGGGCTGCACGTCCCCGTGCAGCTAGGTCACGGACTACCGTTCTCCTCCCTCCTACACGCTGACCCGTGCAGGGCCCCACACTCGGCACCGCCAAGGGGTCGGCTCTGATACCATTTGTAACACCCCCCCCACTACCCAGCAAGATATTGTCCTCTTTGGCACAGGGTCACGGAACACCATTCTCCTCCCCTGCCCTCAAGGGTTTGTTCCTCTCAGGGGTTCCCTGAGAAAAGGCCTCTTGCAAGGTAAGGGCTGAAGGCTTACTTATAAGCCCAGCAACTCCCCCCTCCTGATATCCCACATCGGTTACAGAGGGGGGAGTTGCTGGGCTTATAAGTAAGCCTTCAGCCCTTACCTTGCAAGAGGCCTTTTCCCAGGGAACCCCTGGGAGGAACAAACCCTTGAGGGCAGGGGAGGAGAACGGTGTTCCGTGACCCTGTGCCAAAGAGGACAATATCTTGCTGGGTAGTGGGGGGGTGTTACAAATGGTATCAGAGCCGACCCCTTGGCGGTGCCGAGTGTGGGGCCCTGCACGGGTCAGCGTGTAGGAGGGAGGAGAACGGTAGTCCGTGACCTAGCTGCACGGGGACGTGCAGCCCTGAGGGGGGTGGATTGTGAAATCCTGGTATCCCACATCGGTTACGGAGGGGGGAGTTGCTGGGCTTATAAGTAAGCCTTCAGCCCTTACCTTGCAAGAGGCCTTTTCCCAGGGAACCCCTGGGAGGAACAAACCCTTGAGGGCAGGGGAGGAGAACGGTGTTCCGTGACCCTGTGCCAAAGAGGACAATATCTTGCTGGGTAGTGGGGGGGGTGTTACAGAGAGACTGCATACCAGGATGGTGCTATGGCGGTGGCGCTGTGGCAACTGAGAGAGACGAATAGGTATGAGAGTGATGTATTTCGGGTGTAATATAGAGTCCGAGAGATAGACCGCGAGACATAATAGCAATGGGAGAGATGTATATGAAGTTGAGATAAGCCCTTTTACAGTTTTCAAAATTCTAAAAATGCTTGAACCGTAAAAAGTTCAAGACAAACTAAATATTCAAATTTTTTTGTCCCTAATTATGATAACTTGTATCCGAAGGTAATATCTGTTGGAAAAAATAACATAATTTTATAAATATTAATTAACAGTCATTTATAAAAATATATAAAAAAAAAATCAAGAATACAAATCAAATATATATGATGCATGTGATTAAGACACTACAAAATAGATAATAATAAATTAAAAAGAGTTGGCCTATGATATCTGAGAGTCATGTAATCACTGTCCTAAAATAACTATGTCTCGTCACGTGAAGGTATTAACAGACATATACAACTCTAAGATCCAACTCAAATATGCTTACAATAACACCTCATCAGGGGGCACGTCCACTAGAAGATTATGATGAATCTGACTCGAATCGAAGTTGTCTATAAAATCATAATAATAAAAAATACTATGCTATTATTTTAGAATATCGAGAAGAAAGAGGTCGTAAAAGAAATCAAATAAAAGGACAAATTGATGAAATATATGGCAAAGGAGACAAATGACTAATTGGGATAGAGGCGTAGAGAATATGGCTGATCCCAACCGACAACCCCCTTAGGCAACTTCTGATGGCTTCTTTATATAATCTTTTTTTCCTTGTAATAGCTAGTCCATTAAAACTAAGATTAATAGCAAAATTGAATCTGCCATTCAAGTGACCAATAATAACGGTTGTAACTGAAATAAAATAATTAAAAAGTTTTAATAACTTTAATTTATTCCAACATTATATAATTCAAAAAATTGAATATTGATCGTGGATATAAAAAAATATCAAACACTAAATATAGATACACAATAAACTTAAAGTCTAAATTGCATCCTTAACGCCCGCACCTTGCATATATGCTCACTAAAATATTACATATTTGAAGATTCTCATGAAAACAAATTTCAATAAAGAAATAAAGAAAACACACTTTAATAATACAAAATCCATAAAGTTTAACCGGAAACTTATAAAATTCATATACTTAAAATTATATACCCAATTAGAACTCATAGAAGCGTCCACAAGATTAAATCAAAAGTCAACTTAGATAGTTATGCAAACCTATGCCATTAGAAGAAATGGCCGTGCCCAAAACCACTGTATTATGCTAAACGAAAAATTCACCAAACACTTAGATTGATTACATTTTTTGGATCATTTTTATCCATTATTATGGTTTATAAAATTTAGCCATACAAACACCTAGTTGCCATGTTTACGAGATAGATGTGTCCGTGCCTGATGGCACTACGTCCATTTGGTTAGAAAGAAAATAATGGTAGAAAGTGAAAGCAGTAGAAAGTGAAGTGAAAGAAAGAAAAAAGAAAAAAATATATATTTTTTCTTTAATTTATTTAGTTAGTATGAAAATTTTGAAAGAAAGCTTTTTTTTGAAAAAAAAAATTCATTCTATTGTTTGAAAGGTTATAAAGTTGCTAGAAAATTTTGAGAATTGTCTAAAATATCTTTATCCATATTGAAGGAGATGCTAAACTTGAAAGACGGTGCATTTATCCACCTTTTATAATAAAATAAATAAATATTACATATTATTAATGATGGGACTTTTCTGAAATGCTCCATGATGAAGACACGTGTCCTCGGTATTACCAAAATACTGTTGCTAAGATTGAGCACCATCGGCGCACAATGGTCCTCGCCCCCGAGGTACTCGTCATATAGGATCATGCATTCAGTATGTTCTACAACCGACACATGGCCTCGATCTGATATGGTACCTCGGTCGGCATACCTCCCTCGGTTCCGAGATAAGCCTTTCCTCGGTGCCGAGAGGTACCCCGTCCTGGACGCTTCCTCTACTCCAGGATAAGCTATTGACGTACAGGTCATTAGCCTAGGCTAGTCTAGGCTATTCATCATGACCTCGTCTTACACAATTAGTGTCAGAACGTACTAGAAGGCGGGGTCACAACCAATAGGGGATGGACGCGTGGCGTATGATATCACATCGAAGACAGAGAAACCGCATGTCGTTGCTGACACGCGACTTGGGAAAGCAAACTATTAATTACACCATTCCCTTGATGAGACCGCATTCAATGCGGTAAGGCTCGAAAATGAAAGACAATAAATGCACCTAATACAGAGCATTTATTGCATCCTCCCCGAGAGGAGTAAATTGTACCGTCGGCATCCCGATGACACAGCATTGATTGCTCGGGACCCCGAGCAGTTAAGAAGAGAAGACATTCCTCATCAGAATCAGTGCGCACACTGCCTGTACCTAATGATCACCTACTGACAGCAATCATGAGCTTTTAAGGTATAAATACTCCTTGCAAAAGGCAAGACGGGTATGCAACAAAAACTCTTTACTACAATACACACTCAGTGTTTTCTCCTTCCTCTCTCTTTCTCAAAGACTGACTAGATCGTCGGAGGGGATACGCCGAAAAACACTCTGGCGCCCTTCTAACTTGTTCTTCTTTGTTTCAGAAACCTCTTTCAGCCTTACTGGATCGTTCTTCCGCTCCCCAGGGTCTCCCGTCGCCGTTCCAGGTTACCACCGGACCTCGCAGGCTGTTCTAAGCAGCGTGGTTGGTCACTCAACTGGCTCACTGGAGTTCACCAAGGGAGAGATATGTTCTCGTTTTTATATTGTACAGGATCTTGCACGCACAATCTGGCGCTGTCTGTTGGAAACGACTAATTTTCCTAATTTTTTCTCTATAAAGAACAGTGACCATGGTGAACACTCGACAGAAAGGGAAAGGCCCCCACCAAAGGAGTCTCGAGTTACAAGCTCCCTGTCATCACGGAGGGAGGGATCACACCGATATGAATAAAAGTGTCTTTACTCGGTCAAGAGGGGTTACCCCTCAAACCAGTATGGGAATCAGGTCAGGGGGATCAGCCCCCTTGGCTCGTCAGCTGGCGGAGGTGATTGAAGAAAAGTTTGGCGATAGATTACGACAGCTGGAAAAGGACAATGTAAACGTCCTAAGCCGGCTCAACGAGTTTGCCGCCTCTGGCGAAGGGTCGAGGATTTCATTCCTTTCTCGTGGGCTTCCCACCCGGGAGGCAGAAATGAAGG